CAGTTTTTCAATTTGGTAGTTTTGTGTGTGTGTGTGTGTGTGTGTGTGTGTGTGTGTGTGTGTGTGTGTGTGTGTGTGTGTGTGTGTTTGTTTGTTTGTGTTTGTTTTGTTCACTTCTTGGCAACGGAACAAAAAAAAATCTCATTTTTGTGTCACTGTCTTTTAAAGCTTGCGTTTTGCTTTTTTTGTAGCCACATCTCAGTGTGACTCACCAGTACAGGAAGTGACGGTTATCATTTCCACAGAAGATGAGCATTTCAGTTTCCCCAGCGTGCAAATGTGGGTGTCCAAGCTTCTTGTGAGGTGACTGTTACAAGGTGACAGGCTTTCAATTCATAAGACACCAAATCAGGTATCCGTCTATTACACACGATCCATCCATCGTTTATACGTTTATATGTAACTGTGTGTCCTGTCGCTGTGGTTAACCATGATATGCGCATGACATGTAGCTTTAAATCTTAGACAGAAATGTGACCATAGGGTGACATGCGGGAAGCATCTGAGCAGTTTGCAGAACTGAGTACTTCCTGTTACGTTAGATGAAGTAGTAATCAGACTGGCCAAAGAGCAACAACTGATCCATTCTGAGCTTTCCATCAGAAAGGTAAGACAGATCTTCTGCTACATACCCGATTATAACTGACAGGACTTGGTTATGTCTTCAAATGTTATTTTTTATAAAAATGAAAAAAACGAAACAAGGTTGTGAAACGGTTTGCCTCCTGGCTGATGCAAGCTTAAGCTGTGTGCTTCAAAAGGAACTGTCTGTATCTGAAAACATTACATAGTGCCGTGTTGGGTTTTTCAAAAAAAAAAAAAGTGTGAACATTTCCTGTTTTCTTTTATTCTCTTCTTTCTGTCAAGCACCTACAGTCAGTACTGCGAGACTGTCCTCTGAGAGTGGCTGAAATGAGCTGAACTTTTATCACTTTTCGTCCTCACCCGTGCTCTGTTCCACCTGCAGACAGGTAAGACACGTCCACTGCTGTGGTTAAACTTTTCTGACTTAAGGATCTACCGCTTATCTCGTTATGTTTAATGGTGCCAGATAACTTCTGGCACAGGAGTCCGATTTATCAGATTTTATTTCTCTCTACATATTTTACATTTTGGTTTGTTTTTTTGTTTTTGTTTTTTAAAGATTAGAATTTTCTCTGACTGAAAATACAAAATGTGAATCCCCTGTCAGTCTGCTTAAAAGTTTTCACATTTAATATTCAGTGCTATACTTTTGAGTTTTGGTGTGAACGTAAAGCAAAGGGTGTGGTGACAGACACATGATTGCCTCATCACACGATGTAACTGGTACACTTGACACAATGATTTTTCCTCCCATGTATCTTTTTTCCATGTATCTTTTTTTTAAACTTTTAACTTATTCTGCAATTTCAGATTTAGTTTAACGCAGCTATGACACTCCTCAGCATGAAGACATTTCCAGCCTTTTTATGGGGAATATTCATCGTGGCTGCTTCAACCCCAGAAACTAGTGGTTCTACCTACACTGTTGAGCCCAACAAGACAAGCGCCCAGCTGACAACTGCACTTGCGTTTCACAATAAAACAGATTCACACCCTGCAGTGTGGGGAACAACTCACAGACCTGCAGCTACTACCGTTTCTGCAGCGGCACAGAGCACAGTGGTAACCACAGTGGAAACTAGCGCGGCAGCTATCAGTAACAAAACTAAAAGCTCCAGTGACAGTGTAGTCACTTTGATTCCTACAAGCCCTGCAGCAGCAGTCCCAAGCAGCTCCGCTCCGCAGTTACTTCATACCTCCACAGCTTTGATTGAAACTCAACCCACCCACCAAGTGACCATGAAAGAAACAACAACACATGCAGAGGACGGGTCCCATCCACAGTCAACCACAGCGCCAGACACCACTGCTCCTGCAACATTCTCATCAACAGCAGCTGTGTCTTCTCCACAGCCCACATCCATCACTGAGTCTGCAATGACATCAGTGTTATCATCCACTTTCTCTTCTGAGAAATCTACTGCAGCTCCAGGCACTCAGAACCTCAGCAGCCTTTCAGTTTCTACTGCAAGCCCATTGACGGCAGAGTCGATCTCAGAGACAACACGTGTGCCACAGGTGTCCACCTCTTTGCGCCCCACAACAGCCAAGACACTGAAAACCAGCCCTGAGATTTCATCTGCAACTCAGTCCGTTTCTGCCTCAAGTTCTTCTATCTCCACACAGTCAAATGCTACCTCTACGTCAACTGAATCTCCCAACTCCACCATTGCAATAATCCCGTTCCCCCGTAGGCCCACGGTGTTACCACATCCAATAACTAAGCCAGCCCCAGCTACTAAATCGCCACACGGTGAAATCTCAAAATCAACCCCCATCACCGAGGTTCAACCCTGCTTGACCCAGAACGTGGTGAAGCAGTGCCTCATTGTCATCGCCTGCCTGGCTTTGGTGTGCACAATCTTTATCTTTACTACCATTGTCCTCTGCGCCAAACTGTCATCGAGGAAGCACAAGCGCAAACCTCAAAAGGAAACGGAAATGATGTGCATTTCTGCTCTGCTGCCCGAGAGGAGCTACAACTATACGAGACAGCACAATCCGGTGCCCAATGGCGTCCTGGTGATGCCAAGGGCTGAAGACAGCGATGACGAGGTGGGAGATAATCTGACTCTCAGCAGCTTCCTTCCAGAGAATGATCGCTACGTGTAGATGGATTTTACTATGCTTTCATCTGTTTGCTATCAGTCAGCATGGAAATAGCTGCTTTTTTAATAAACTCCTGCTTCCCCTTTGATATTACTGGTTTTGCTTCAGTACCTGCCGTATTTCAGTGGAGGAAGAGAGAAACCACAAACAGACAAACATTCACGGTTTCATGTGCAAGTGCCTGTAACTGCATGTGGTATTTGACAAGGTCTGTGCTTTTTGCATGACTTTAGCCTCCACAGGATGAAGAGTGATCAAAGTTTGTTTTTTGTTTTTTTTTCATCCGGAGCTGAGCCCTGCTGGTATTTCACTTTACGACAGGGGACAGGAAGACTTGCTGTGCAAAGGGATATTATTGCTCTGTTCAGACACTGTTCAGTTTACAAGAACTATCCAGGTGGCTGAACACTTAAAGAGACAGTTCAGCCTCAAGTCAAATTTACATGTTGTTCTGCTGGCCTGTAGTGCTCTTTGTCCACCTGATGTGCCGGTGTTTGCAGATATTTACTGTAGAGTTGCCTTCCTTGTCTTGAATATACCAGAACCAGGTTACAACTGACTTCTGCTACTCATTGCAAATTTCTTTTTTCAAGAAATCATCCTCAAATGGTGTTGTGAGCAGTTTTATGCAGGAACTATGTCTTTTCGACCTAACTGCATCAGCCAGTCAAAAGCTAATATCACACCTCAGCTAAGGGGGAAACAATCGGTGTTTACATCCTGTCACAACGTCGTTGTGCAGTGGCACACTTCCTTCTGCAAAGTGATGCAATTGGCTGGTGCACTTTAGAAAAAAGAAAATGTAACCACACAAAACTGCTCGTTATGGTGGATTTATTTTCCATAAGTGGGTTGTTATGATTGATAAGAGCCAGGGAGGTTTCAAAGACAGTTTTTGAAGCTGTGAGCACCATAATTTTAATATCTAGCACCATTATATTAAATAAAAAAAGTGAGATAAGAGAAAAAACAAGAGATGGATGGATGGATATCACCAATTTTGTGCAATTCACACCAAAAGATGAGCAGATACATAGATGGTTGAACGCTTGATGATGTAATGACCCTCTTGTCAGTTTGTCTTGGTAGGTCATGTGACCCTGGCATGGAGCTAACATGGCTTAGTTGTAGGGTTTTCATTCATCAGGGGCTGATTGTGGCATATAAGGAGCAGTCCTGGTGACTCTTTGTGTCCTGTCCTCTCCTCTTCTGTATGGACTCCCTGTAAGCCTATAAGAAAATAGGATCACCCGACTAGGCCACCTTCGGTCCACCTGAGTATCACATGACCTATAAAAACAAACCGACATGGGGGTCGTCACAATGCACAAAACTAATTTCATGTTGTTTAAGTGTGTGTGAAGAGATCTACTTTCTGATAATTTATTAATTAAATGTCTTTGTTAACTTTAACATTTTAGTAACTCTTCAGGTTAAGAGTCATAATGAAAAAAAGAATAAAACATTTCTGCAAACGTAGAACTGATCACTTCTCAGTGTAGAAGTTAAACATATTCTGTGGTTCTCTCATGACAACAAAAGTTTGAGGAACTTATCTGAAAGATTTCCTCAAAACGATTATGCCTTGCAATCCATATTGTGCTTAGTGTTATGAATATTTTCAACATTAAAAGTAGCCTTTTTAATAAAAAAAGAAACTGTCTGTAAATTTCTAAACAGTCAAAATAGAAATAAACTTTCTGTGATCTCCGTCAGTGCCCTCGTTTATGAAAGCCCTCACAAAAAAAGCTTTTTTCCTGCTCCTGACTGGATCTCAATTTCACTTCCTTTCCTGAGAAAAGAAAACAATTCCCTGAATACATATTAGGGCCATGAGACCACATTTTTTTCTCTCTCTTTTTAAATTTTCCCCCGACATTTACAGACGTCGGTGACTAGCAACAGAGCTGAGGCAAATGTAAACCTGGAGGATGCAGGAACCCATCGCACGCTCCTCATGACCATATAAAGCTACGTTTGTCGTGAGCGATCAAAAGCAAAACAGACATGCAAGAAAAATGCAATCACTCAAACAAAGTCACACTCTCTCCCTTAAGTGGTCTCACACACATACATACACACACACACGCTTTAATTGCTCGTCTCTGGATAAAATGCTCCACATTGTTTCTAACAGTCTCCAGCGTGTGGCCTTTACCTTCCCCCTTCTCTTTGCTGTCCACACAGGAACCATTAACCTTTTCCTGCATTGGCAGATCACTCATACAAGCTGCTCTCTGACTCTTTTTTTTAGCCCCAGAGGTTTGCTGTTATTCATCAGTGTGAGGGACTAAGGGGGTAAAACGAAGGAAAGGCTGTCAGTCAGAGGCTCTGTTTTATTTTTAGAGGGTTTATTTATTTGTGATGCTTTTATAGCTCTTAAGAATTAATTTTGTTTTGTGGAATTGGCTTTCCACATCCACTGAGCCAAACATCAGAGTGGAGAAGAGGTCCCTGCCCCCACAGCACATTATAAACTCCCACATAACAAGAACAATCTGTGTGCAGGCCGGAGAGCTCAGACACTCTCGGGGAAACTGGAGGGGGAGGAGAACAGTGGATAGGCAGAAGGAGGGATTTCTCCTCATGGTAAACTGCTTTTTTTTTTTTAAAATACCCAGACAAACCTCCACACTGAAACCTGAAACTCGCAGAGGGGGCGTGCTTCACCGAGCATTCGCCGCTCTTTGCTGTGCTAAGTTCACTTTTTTCCAGTCTCATCCTCCTCATTCTGAGGGCTTTTCAGCAGACAGCTCTTCTTCTGCAGTGGATGGTGAGTCAAATGTGTCATTTCATAAGGTTTTGTCCTTAAAATTCAATAACAGCATCTTGACACCTTGTTTGACAGCATCATGATAGAAGGATTCAAACTCAGGAATTAGGAACATGATAATAAAAAAGTAGAGACAAGGTTCAGATTTAGACATTAAAAGTTTTCGACATTACGTTTGCAAATAAAATAGTCGCACTTGTTAAATCTGCTGAGTGAAGATTTGTGTGTGCTTGTGACCTCCTTCTGTGCGTGTTACTGTGTCAGTGTATATTAGGTCCAGGGTGAGCAGGGTGATTGATTTGGGAAAAAAGAAAGAAACAACAAGATCAGAACCCGTTTCCCAGACTTTCATGTCTCGCAGCTTGCACACAGATGGCGCAGAAAGATTTGGGAGACAGACTGAGCACGTAGCTTAGTGTGATCAAAGTTCTGGTTGAATTCTGGTTGTTCGGTTGAATTAATCAAGTTGCAAACACACATACTATTTATACTTCTTGTTGTAGAAAGCCATGTCAGATACTTTTGGTTATATCTGAGCAGGAAGTTTTCCTGCTAAATCAACACCTCTCGGGTTAATGATACGCTCAATATAATTTATTCTAATATGTAAAAAGGTGTAGTAAAAATTGTAATTTGTAGAGATTTGGTTAATTTGCTTGAGATATAATTCTATGGTCACTTCTTTAGATACACATTGCTAGTACTGGGTTGGATGCACTTCAGGGTTTTCATGGCAGAGATTCAAAAAGGTGCTGGGAACATTCCTCAGAGATTTTAGTCCATATTACCATGACAGCACACAGTTGCTGCAGCTGTGTCTCATCCGTGATGTGAATCTTCCATTCCACCACATCCCACCGAGATCAAGATCTGGTGACTGTGGAGGGTATTTGAGTGCAGGGAACTCGATCTCATGTTTAAGAAACCAATTTGAGATGATCTGAGCTGTGCGTTATCCTCCTGGGAGCATGTGGGCATAAAAGGGATGGAGATAATCAGCAACAAAAGTCAGGTAGGCTGTTGCATTTAAACGATTCTCAGTTGGAACTATTAGGTCCAATGTGTGCCAAGAAGCCGTCAGCCTAAGCCATTGATGCAAGGCAGGATGGATCCATGCTTTCATGTAGTTTATGCTAAATTCTGACCTTAACACCTGGATTTCATCAGACTAAACAATGTTTTCCACGCTTGTCTTCTTGTCTGGTGTCGTCCTCTGCTGCTGTAGTCAGTCTGCTTCAAGAGAGATGCTCTTCTGCATACCTCGGTTGTGGTCATTTTAGTTTATTGTTGCCGTCTTATCTGTTTGAAGCAGCCTGGCCATTCTCCTTTGACTTCTGGGATTAACGAGGCATTTTCACCCAGAGAACTGCTCACTGGATAGCTTTGCTTTATTGGACCACTCTCTGTAAACCCTAGAGAAGATCAAGACCAGCCTGTCTGACACAAGCAACAAAGTCTCTTAAATCACTTTTCTTTTTTATTCTGATGCTCGGTTTGAACTGTAACAGATCAATGCACTAAGTTGCTGCCATGTGACTGATTAGAAATTTGCATTGATAAGCAGTTGAAAGTGTGTGCCTAATACAGTGGCAATAAGCGTATAAGGCGTAAGTATAAGTTTACATGTATTTCTTTCAAAGTGCAATTTCAACTAACCCAGAGCTGGGAGCCTTTTCTACTCTAACTTTTACTCATGACATTTAAAACAGTGCAACCAAGTGAACATTAAGATAGACAAATATAACTAATAAAACATGATCTTCTCGTACTTTGTAAACTGTGGAATTTCAGTCATCCATCTTTGTTTTTGTTGTAAAGCAGACTGAATGTCTCAAGAGCAGCACTACTAATTTTACTTTTCTGAAAAAAAGATGTTAATCAAATACACACAAAGCACATATTCTCTTGACGTGTGTCACTGATGTTAAGTGTTATTTACAGATTCCGAGGGGAAATGCCGCTCCTGATGGCCCTTCATCACATTGGTCTGTGCGTGGTGCTTTGCATCAGTAGCAGCCTCTCCACACCTCTGCCTTACTCAGATTCTCTGGAGGGAAGCATAGATGAGGAAGACAACAACTACTTCACTTTCTATCTGCCTATTACCAATGTCTCCACAGAGTACCAGACCGCACCTGCCAACACAGCCCAGGAGGAAACTGACTTTCTGAATCAGCTTGTGAACTTTCTTAATGAGAACATGCTCCTCATCCTCGTTGCAGCCAGTCTCATCCTTCTCGTCTTCCTTATCATCTGCGGGGCAGTTTTCATGAGCCACAGACGCAAAGTCAACGCTTACTATCCTTCCTCCTTCCCCTCAAAGATGTATGTGGATGACAGGGACAAAAGTGGAGGTGCTAAACCCTTTAACGAAGTTCAAGAAAAAGCTTCCCCAGGGCAGGAAAGCGAGCCAGTGGACTCTCACAAGCAGCTCCAGGCTGACATTATGAGGGCTGCCAAGAGCCTGCGCGCTCCAAATAAATCTGTTGATGCTGCAGAGAGAAGCGATCCCAGTCAGAAAGTAGCAGACCGCAGTCCCGAGGACAGCTCAAAAGCAGATGACAGCATCCTAGACCATCAGCTCCCAAGTCTCCCAGAGGAAAATGAGCCGAGCGAGCTTTCCGACAGTGAGGCCACCACCACAGAGGGCAGCTCAGAGCCGAATCCTCCTGAGCTGCCTCGGTCAGAGGAAGTTGATTCACAAGAGCCTTTGACGGGCAGGAGTCCGCGGCCCTCCTCTCTGCACATTCACAATGACTCTGCTACACTTCAGCTCATCGCAGGAGAGAAAACTGCCTTCTAAGAAATCACATTTTTGCAGAAAACCAAAGATTTCTGCAGGATTTTATTTGAGGAAATGCAGAGAAGTTACTAAAGATACAGCAGGCAGAGTTGAAGATGATACATGATACTCTCTTTATGCACCTTTGTACAAGTTTCACAGTACACAAATACTGTTAGTATTTTTTGTGTTCCTGTGTTTGAATTTAAACATCTCTGCTGGTAACAGTAGGTGGTGTGGTCCCAATTACTCTGCGCTTCTATGCAAAAAACAAAAAACAAAAACAAAATTGGACAACTAGGATTTTTAATATGAACCTGTTATGCTTTTCCCCATTTTCTGTCATATATACACTGCTACAGTAGGGTGGACTTTTATATTAAACATGTCCGGAGTTTCAAATAAAAAGTTCAGCGTATGTACAAGTAATGGCTGTGAAACAAAAGATCAGCACTCTGTGACATCACCAGGGTACACATTCCTGATAATGGCTTGTTTCAGGAAGTAGATGCATTGAGGCAATGCTCTTTAAAAAAAAAAAAACACAAAAAAACAGCATGATGATTTTTGACCTGCGAGTCATGTAAAGCTACTCCAGCAGACTCCAAGAGTAAAACTGTGGAGTTTTAAATTTTTCTCTTTTTAGGGTGCACGCTTAGGATTCCATACTTTTACAGAGCCCGTCTGACTGGTTTTATCACTGCACATCACACGCTGGACCGCTTAAACATGTGGGCTCGTACACATCTCAGTGGGACTCCAACGCAGCCGCCTCTGTGAAAAGCCTCCAAATTAATCAAAACGGCAATCGGACGGCATGTCGGGTCTTCGTGTAACAGCCCAATAAAGCTAGTGAGTGCAGATGATGTTGAATGTCGCTGTTCTGCAAAAGCGCTTTTCAAAATTGTGTGCACTTAAGTCAGAGAAATAGAAAGCGGGTGTGAGGGAGAGAGAAGCTGAGACACTGAGATAAAGCGAAGCAGTCAGGATTTGTCAAGTGTATAAAACCACAATCTGGTGTGTTTTGGCTGCAGCGGATCTCAGCTGCAGAGCTTTTTTAGGTGCGTTATTGTAGCAGGAAGTGCACGGGCGTATTTGCAGGCTCTGTCTATGTGCAGCTTACTCAAATGGATCACAAGGACGACTTATTTAAAGAGAATTAAGAATAACCTCATTAGTTATGCCTGTATTTTTCTGTAGATGGAGAGTCAAATAATGTTTAAATAATAAACAGGATTCAAAAAGTACAATTAGGGATAATTTTATTACAGACTTTTAAAGAAGCATTTGTAAATATAAGTTGCATTTGAAACTACTGGACCCCCTTTCTTTGGTTCAAGCCACTTTGCTTAATCAACAGGTCAGTGCGTTTAGAGTGCAGAGGGTATAAACAGCTTTTAGCTTTCATCCATACCTCCATCACACCTTTCAAAATAAAAAACACTCCACCTGCACAAAGCAATTTCCAAAATAAGGCTCATCTCTGTACCAACAACCCAAAACAGTGCTTATATTGTGCGTTTACGTGACAGGCTAAAAGATACAGTATACACGGTTAGAGGATCGCAGACTAATAAAAACAGCCTGGTGTAACACTGCTACAGAGGGTTGAAAGGTGGTGGGCTCGTCATCATTGCCGCAGGAAAGTGAGGTGTTGACGCTGGACTATTTCTCTTCTCGGCAGCAGGGAGCCAAACCGGGCCCAGCACAAAGCGTGAGCGCTCCATTTAATTGCTGGCTCCGACTGCCTCCTGCTGGTCATCTTGTTGCTTGAGACGATAGTCAGCAAGAGCTGCCTTGATGGCATCTTCGGCGAGCACTGAACAGGAAATAATTGGAGGTTAAATGTGCACATGTGCAGAGAAGTTTGGAAAAAAGAAAAAGAAGATCCTTGACGTATTAAAAGAAAACTTACTGGAGCAGTGAAGCTTAACAGGAGGAAGACTGAGCTCCTTGGCGATGTCTGTGTTCTTTATCTTCAAAGCTTCGTCCACCTGAAAATAAAAGCCCACACACAGCCATGAGCGGAGCAGAACACGCTAAATATTTAATAGATTAAACATTCAAAGGAGCTGAGATGCAGGCCTGTAATGTGTTCACTCACAGATTTGCCTTTCACCCACTCGGTGGCCAGAGAGCTTGAGGCGATGGCAGAACCACAGCCAAAAGTTTTGAACCTGGCATTCACAATCTTCCCCAGGTCATCCACCTCAATCTGAGAAAAGTTTTGACTGTTACTCATGTGACCAAAAAAAATGAGCAAGAAAAAAAACAAAAAAAAAAACAAAACCCCAAACAATCTTAATCTCTCCCATTCTTAAAAATGTATCCCTACTAAACTAACAAAAATAAACGCCTTTAAGTCACACACACTTTGTAACAAACATACCTGAAGCTTCATTACATCCCCACAGGCCGGGGCACCCACCAAACCAGTTCCAACATTCTTGGAGTTTTTGTCCAGCGAGCCCACATTTCTGGGGTTCTCATAATGATCCACCACCTTCAGACAACAGAGAGGGGAAAAGGAGCATCAGGCCAAATGCACTCTTCCTGTTGCTGTCAGAATTCAACAATCACATATTTGCAGGAAGGAAATGCCATCTACATTCAGATACAATGGTAAAAAGAATGTGTACAAGTCTTGGCATCCTTGTTACACAACTACAACTTGACTCACTTGCATAACTGACACTGGCATGAGCAGATTAGGACTGGATTTCATGGTCTACACAGTGCAAACTCTGTCCTTCAGCCCTCTTACTCTATTTCTTGCTGAGTCACTCTGACCAAGACAGTGTGAAGTGGCCGAGCATCGCAAAACCTTTTGCATTTTTCATCAGAAATTAAAGGTTTAAAGCCAGATTCCTCAGCTGATGGCTAAAACATGACCTCTTATCCAAGAAATAATTTTAATAAAAGGCATATAATGTCTAAACCTCCACAATCACCCCAAAACATCCAGCTAAACATAAATACATCACAGTTATGGCTGCCATGACCCGGTTAACCTCCTGTTGCATCAGTACACCTTCACAGGTATCACATAACATTTACCTGACTCTAGCACAACATACTGCCACCCTTTAAAGCGCATCAATCGGATATGGTTAAAACTGTGGCAGTGGACAGCTGGTTGCAGATTAGTGACGTTATTCCAGCCTTCAGTAAGCTAAATAGCTACAATGAAACAATACATTTGTTCATTTTAACGGGCTAGCATCATGGAGGTGAAGGGTTTGAGATAACCAGCGTAAAGGCAGTCTGATGTAACTTGAAACATTTGTGCAGCCAGCTAAATATAAGCCACCGTCCTATGGTTGTCAACAAAATGCCCGAGCAGAAAGATCTTACAGAGTCGTGGTTGCTCGTGTTTAGTAGATCAGTTAGCTGATATACTCCAGGATGCTTTCAGTAGGAGTAAACATGAACCAACAAGCAGCGGCGACGCTGTAAGCCGAGCTCCCCGTTAAAGAGAAGCTACAGACTGGACCACTTACCTTCTTGTGATAGCAACACTGAGTGATGAACTCGGGAGCGGAGAGCCTCCTGGTGAGGAAAGCCAGAGGACTGAGACACTTGTTCGCCACGGTGCTCGCCATGTTGATCCAATGTCGCAGTTAAGAAAGCTCGCAGCTCAAGAGAATGGAACTACACGTCACTGACAGGAGGAGGAGCTACAATAATCACATCTGCGCATGTCTGGTTTATGCAATTTACAAAAAACGCTCTTTTGATAATGCAATACAATTAGACTTTCATTTGTTTCTATTTTTTTTCTCTTTGTATTTTAATTGATCAAATTATCTCTCTTTACGAGTCTTTATCAAGCATTTAGTAGAGGTGGGTAGATTAAGCCAAATATGGAGTGCCACAGGATTCATACTTTAGTTTATTTCTGTCCTCTAAGGTTCATCAAAAAAGAAACATGCCTGTGCAATCGCTGCTCCACTCATGCAGTCACTTTGACATTAACTAATTGTAAAAAATAAAGTGTTATTGGTCGTCTTGGCTGTTAGGTTTGCTAACTGATTAACAATAGACTATATTCAGACATTCAAATAATATATTCAGCCCACTGAATTGTGTTAAATACTTTATTTTATTGGAAATGAAAAACTACACCTCAGACATGAATTCTGAAAAATTCCTGAGCCCTTTTGTGTTGACTGTTAGGTCCATTTTATTTATAGCCTAAGAAGCATTTAAATGGCAGGCGTTGACCCAAAATAGGAGACAGTCACGTTAAAAAACAAAAAACAAGTTTCAAAATACACGAAAAAGCTGAAAGGTGGGTTTTGTTCTGTTAACTAATTAATCTGTGAAGTTGAAAGAAAATGACAATGATTTAGTAGGGAGTAAAATGTGTTCAGAATTTGCTAATTGATGATGATTCATGTCATAAATCAAGACACACTGCTCTCCACTACATAAGCTGCATCAGCAATACTGGCCCTGTATTTACTTGGTATCAGATCGATACTGATATTTGCATCGCACTAGTATTTAAAGAAAACCTTTATGTTCTCCACAACAGAGTCAAAAGATTACATTCAACTTATATGTGGGTTTTTCTTCTTGCTGCTGTTCCCTTGAGGGGTTGGCGCAACAGATCTTCCTGCATTTCACCCTATCTCTAGCATCCACCTCTGTCGTACAGCCCTCTGCATGTCTTCCTTCACTACAGCCCTGAATTTCCTCTGTGGTCTTCCTCTTTTGCTCCTGCCTGGCAGCTCCATATTCATAGAGTCCCGATCAAAAGTTTAAGTCCACTTGAAAAATGGCAAAAAAAAATCATATTGTGCATGGTTGGACCTTAACAAGGTTCCAAGTCAAGCTTCAACGTGCAACAAGAAGAAATGGGAGTGAGACAAAACTTTTTTATTTATTTTTTTTTGAGATATTCAGAGCTCTTCTTTGGATGTTTGCTGCCTTTTCTTCTGTTCTCTGTCAGATAGATCTCACACTGCTTCAGTGATGTTGAGGTCTGGGCTCTGGAGAGGCTGAGTGATATCCATGCTTTTACTGCATTGCCAGTTTGTTTGTGTATCACTGTTATGATGAAATATGAAGCTATTTCTAATCAGTAGTTTTTGAGATGTTACTGCTTGGTGGATTAAAATCTGAGGGTACTTTTCAGTGTTCACAGTTTTATCATTTCATTTGACAAGATGCCCAACTGGACTGTCTCCACCGCGACAGAGCCTCCACCGTGTTTGACAGATTGGAGTTGGACAATATTGCTCGGGACAACCAGGAGCTCCTCAATCTCTGGTTCA